CCACAGGTTCAGGTCATGTTTGGAGCTCAAGCTCAACAGCCCGAAGCTCTTTAACAAAAGCAAAGAAGCTTTAGGGTTTAGGGTTTAGGGCTCAGGGCTTAGGGCTTAGGGTTAGGGAGTGCTTATGGCTTGGGTTGCTTGGTTCATGTTTACCCCGAAGCCCGAAGCCTTCTAAAACCCGAAGCCCCAAGCACACGGGTAGAAGCCTGGACTTCTACGCGGGGTTTTGATCTGAAGAATGGCCTGTTCGGGTCTCCATTCGCGTGCATTCCGGAAAGAGCGCCACAAAGAAACCATAAATTTCCTCAAACCCTGTATAACTCTTTAATTTTATAGGCATAGGATAGAATAGACACAAGCACGACAAGACAATATTGAAAAACATGTTTAAGAGAATAGAGTGGGAAGGAATGGAGTTTGTTGTTTCATATGCTATCATTGCTGTCATACTCGTTGTGGGTCGTCTTGTCTTGCATAGTAGTCTTGTAATGCATTGTGTTGTTTTGTTGTTTATCTTCATCCAGTGTATGCTGCTACGTTCGATTTCACTACTTTTCCCTACATCACATGACATGACATGACATGTGTACTGCACAATCGTTACGCTGTTGTTGCGTGAATGTTCCCAGACAATCAGCCAAGCTTTCTGGGCTCATGGGCTTCAGCGTTCAGCGCTTAGGGCGCACATGTAGTTGGGTCATTCCCCCCGGCTGCTTGCGCAGTAATTAGCCTGCGTCCTCTACATAAACAGGTAGCCCTAAACACCCTAAAGGGCAAGTGAGGGTGCTCAATTTTATCCGCAACCAAACCCCAGACCCCGAGCATTCCAGCCCCAAGCAGTAATCTTAGCAGCTTATGATAAACGAGATCTCAGAAGTACCCGCTCGTGCTCAATCAGCACGGCCTGAATCCTATCCCTTAACCCCCAGCCCTGAGCCGCAAACATCAAGCCTAAAACCCTGAACACCTGACCCCCTCCTCACTAAACCCCCAAAAAGAAAAAGGCCCCTAAACCCTGAACCCTAAGCCCTAAAGACTGCCAGGGCCGAAATTTCATCAAGCGGAAGGCCTCCACCTCGCCGCACCGACCGCCAGAGGTGATGGGGGAGGGTTCAGGGTTTAGGGTTCAGGGTTCAGGGTTTAGGGTTTAGGGTTTAGGGTTTAGGGTTTAGGGTCACAGGCCAAAGAACCGTGACATGGACGCCCCAAGTAGCCTCCCGAAGTTCCCAAGTGTACCTTAGTTTGTTTAGGGCTTAGGGTACGAGTGCAGTTAAGGCATCTTGGGGAGCACTTGGGGGGGGTTGGGGTTTAGGGTTTAGGGTTTAGGGTTTAGGGTTTAGGGTTTAGGGTTTAGGGCTAGGGTTTCGGGATTTAGGGTTTAGGGTCGAGGAAGCGTGCAGGCCCCAAGGTCAACTTAGAGTTTGTTTAAGGCAGATGAGCCGAACCTAGTCGGCCCCCCCATCTCCGCCAGAGTGACTTTGTAGGCTTATGCTTATGACAAAGCATGCGCTCTGGGTCCTTAAAGGGGTCGTCCCTCGGTGTGTGTGTGTGTGTGATTGGTTTGATTGACTTGATTGATTTGATTGATGTGATTGATTTGATTGATTTGATTGGTTTGATTGATTTGATTGATTTGATTGATTTGATTGATTTGATTGATTTGATTGATTTTGATTTGATTTTGATTTGATGTTGATTTGATTTTGATTAATTTGATGGATTTGGTTGGTTTGATTGATGTGATTGATTTGATTGATTTGATTGATTTGGTTCATTTGATTCATTTGATTCATTTGATTCATTTGATTGATTTGATTGATTTGATTGATTCGATTGATTGATGGAGTCATTTTGTGATTGTCATTGTCACTGTGGTTGTGATGGTGATTGTGTGCTTGTTTGTGTCTAAGCCTGTCACTAAACGTCCATTTCAAGCAGGGGGCTAAAGAACCCTGGAAGCAGGAGCTGCCCAGAAAGTTCTGTCCCACTGGTCAGGATCCAGAGCGGGGACTCCTTTATGTACTTGCGACAGTGGTGATGTGTGATCTACGTAGGCTGCCGTACATGGTGCCCGCGGCTGCGTTTTTTTGCAAACATATTCTAGTACACCAAACCCTACTACTTGCTTAAGAGCCCCCAAAGTGATAAAGAACATTAAGCCCTATAGTGCCCTTATCAGGAATGTGTGGAGTTTTTGCTTAAGAACTGTATAAACCCTAAACCCTAAAACCTAAAAACCGGAGCAGTAATCGCTATAAATCTCGCGACCAGGTGCACAATGTCAATCAGCCGTCCGGGCCAGCTCCTCAAGGCTTCTTCTTAAGGGTTTATATAGGGTTTTAGGTTTCGGGTTTAGGGTTTCGGGTTTAGGGTTTAGGGTTTTCTCAGGGTTTTCTCGAAAGTTTATACCTGCACGAGATAGGCTGTCGGGATTGTCTATACTTTCCCTTCTTGGGTTTGTGAGGGTCATGTTTCGGGTTTTAGTATAGGGTTTTAGGGTTTTGGTTTTTTCCCCTTCTTGGGTAAACTTGGGTTTAAGAGGGTTACATGTCGGATTTTAGTAAAGGGTTTTCGGGTTTTGGTCTAAAGTTCGGTGGTCCCCTCTCTGCATATGGTTTCGGTCGCGCACTCAGGAATACCACCACCGACAACGGCGTTGTGCGCCGCGTCTTGAGCGAGATCCGGCGGAGTATGGCTGAGCGCGGCACCTGGCACCTGCCCGGGGCGGCGGGGGGCACGGGGCGGCGGGGGGCGGGGGGGGCGGGACGCAAACCCAAGCCCTCGAGGCCCAAGCACCCTCAACTCTAGACCGCAAAGACTAAGAAGCCTGAACCCCACGTTTCGAAGAGAAGTGCGCCATCCGGAGCTCCACGTCCCTTCCAAGCCATGACCCTACACCCTGTAAACGCTAAACCCCATGCCCTAACCTGGGTTGGTTTTTTTGGGGGACAGTTTTCTAACTTCCTTATATGGGTTGATAATGGGACCTTGTGTATAAATATGTTCAGAGGGTTTAAAGGCAACCCAGAAAACCCTAGAGCCACCACCAGCCCACGAAGCTTGACAGCCTGACCCCAAAAGATCTCAAAGTTACGCCGAAATTAGCCTGCGACCGGACAGCTTTCCTTGATCACGCAGCTCCAATTGTTTAGGGTTTAGGGTTTAGGGTTTAGGGTTTAGGGTTTAGGGTTTAGGGTTTAGGGTTTAGGGTTTAGGGTTTAGGGTTTAGGGTTTGTTGATTGTCACATTCTAATCGTTATCTGAAATGCACCTTGGTTTTGGGGTTTGGGGTTTCAGGCTTTATACTAGGCGCCGACTTGCTGTTGATGCAGAGCACGCCCTCCCCATATCCTGCGGAAGGCCCTTTTAGGACGTCTGATTGTAGGGTTTTGCGACCATACGACGCACTTTTTTTGTTGGGGCTTCTACTTTGAGCCGAATCCCTAAACCCTAAACCCTAAACCCTAAACCCTAAACCCTAAAGAAACCCTACAAGGGGCCGAAGCCATGAGGTTGAATAGGATTTTGGGTGTAGGATGGAAGGTTTCTCATGGGTTCCCCGACTACCCCCCTCAAAGACTACCCCCCCCCCCCCCCCCCCACCCCCCAGGTACTAAGGCTACTTAGGGATAAGGAAGCCTATACTTCAGGTTGTTTGAGGGCTGAGCGGAACCGAGGTCATCCAGGATCATCGCAGATAAGACCTTCCAGCAGATCTACGCCGCTCGCTTGTTTAGGGCATTCTAAGGGTGGCGTCATGGGCTCTTAATGTGGTCCCATATCTCCTTTAGAGGGTTCTGATGTATGGGCCCTTAATTTGAAGAAAGTGCAAAAAAAGAAAGAACAGAGGTCCCCTTCCTTTTAGGGGTCCATACAAAGGGACCATGAGGCTTAGGCTTGGGCTTCAGGGTTTGGGGGTTGAGAGTCTGACAGCACTGATGTCGAGGGTTCTCGGTGGAGGTTAAGGTCGGCTTAGGCTTGGGCTTCAGGGTTTGGGCGTTGAGAGTCTGACAGCACTGATGTCGAGTGTTCTCGGTGGAGGTTAAGGTCACGGGTTCCCGTCCGACCCCTCTGTAGCACCCCCCGCCCGCGTAGCTTCCCCCCCATGCTGGGGAAACTAGGGGGGGGGGGGGGGGGGCAGTATAGAGGGGGGTGGCCATGGTAGGAGGTGGCATGCAGTCTACTTGTCTTTCTTCGCTGCTTTCCCTTTGCCGTACGACGACCCCCTTCAACAAATCGGACTCCCCAGACTGGGGAGTCCTAACCCCCCAAACCAACCTGAAACCCTACACCCTAAACCCTAACCCATAAGCCCTAAACCCTAAACCCTAAACCGATTAAACTAGAGCCCTGAAGCAAGGGTTTTGGGTTTTGTGTTAAGGGTTTGGGGTTTAGGGTCTAGGGAAATCCTGTCCCTTTAAAGCCTTACAAAAATGCCTTGCGGAAGCCTCAGTATTGTGGTCATAGAGCCGCACCCTCGTACCTAAAGGCATCCCCTGCACCCTAAACAGGGTTTAGGGTTTAGGGTTTAGGGTTTAGGGTTTAGGGTGTAGGGTTTTTAGTTTTGGGGTTTAGGGTTTTGGCACCCTCTGGCTCAAAGGAGCTGGTTCCAGGCACCAAAGGCATCCTGGGCGAAGGCCAGGGGGAGGAGGGAGCTGCGTGTTTTCACGCAGTCCAACATATTACTTCGGACTGAGGGTCTGTCGGTTTAGGGTTTAGGGTTTAGGGTTTAGGGTTTAGGGTTTAGGGTTTAGGGTTTAGGGTTTAGGGTTTAGGGTTTAGGGTTTAGGGTTTAGGGTGTGTTGCGGACTTCGGGTCTTTAGGGTTCAGGGTTCGGGACCACACCTTCGATAGCAATGAAAATGCGGGCGCAGGTGGTGGTGCTGATACCTACACATTGTACTTCCGGAGTTTTTTGTTTGGTTATTCTTTGTATTACACCTATACATGTAGTGATTTCTATTACACCTATCTATCTACTGTCTGGCTAGATTTGCAAGATGCCTGTGAGCGCCAGAGGCTCGTTTCCCGAACCCTAAATCAGGGTCTCTGTGCTGAGCCTAGGGGTTTCGGGTTTTGGGGGTACTATATCCTATATCCCCCTCGGGAATTATTGTTTTGTTCATACAGAAACCCAAGAGGATGTTAACACATATTAGTTTTCATTCAGGTTCTATGGGGAGTATAGAGTAGGGGTTTAGGGCCTAGGGTTCTTTGGTGGGAGATGGGTGGTTGGTATCTCATATGTGCAATTTGTGCAGACTGCAGTGTCTTGCAGCCTGGACTACATAGATTCGGCTAGGTTCGGGTAGATGTCTAGATGTCACGGAATGCATCCCTCCCCCCCCCGCCCCCCCCCCCCTCCGACTTTACGTTATACATCTTTTCGGGGCCAACAAGGTACATCTCGGGGGTGATCGGGGGCGATTTTCTGTTTTGGGTGCATTTGCCAGGGACCATACTGCAGAAGGTTGTTGCGCAAATTGAGCCTGTATACTTGGCTGATGCTGTCTTCACGACTCACTTTCTTGCCGGAGTTATGGACGCGGATTGGAGTGCGCTGCAGCTATATTTTTCCAGCCGAGAACTGGCGGTCTGACGTGGTGTCTGCCATGGAGCATGTGCTTCGGGCTGAACAGGCTCTTTGAGAAAGCCGTGGGCAGGGGAGTATTTCACGCCAGTGGCGGACAGTAGCGGTACCTGTTCAGTCTCCGATGCCCCTCGTTTAAGTGTCGTAACAGGGTTATAATTGGGTTAGAAATACAGTTATAGTTGGGTTATTAAGTAGGGGTCAGACTCACCCAAAGCCCTAAACCCTCAACTCTAGGAACCCCACAAGGGGGGTTACAATAGGGGACCCCCGATAGAGACCCCAAATAGTAGGATTCCAGATAAGGACCCCAATAAGGTGCCCCTTATTTTGGAAGCCCCCAATAAAACCCTAGATCTTGGTTTGGGGCATAGGGGTGACTGTTGTCTAGTGTTGCAGCATGGTTTTTATCTGAGCAGCGCAGCCCTTTGCCTAACAGTTTGGCCTAAGCAGCAGCCTACTGAGGGTTTAGGGTTTAGGGTTTAGGGCTTAGGGTGTAGCACTTGGGGTGGGGGTTTAGGGTTTTAGGAGATGAGACAGACACCGCCGGAGGCATCAACGGACAGGTTCGACGCGCTACGGAGCGGAACACCGGGAGAGAAGTCGCAGTGAAGTGCCTGGCCTGGCTGAATTTGTAGGTTTAGGGTTTAGGGTTTAGGGTTTAGGGTTTAGGGTTTAGGGTTTAGGGTTTAGGGGGATTGCTGTAGGGTCTGTTGGGTTCATTGAAGGGTTTGAGGAATACTTGCGGAATAATAAGTTAAGGCTTAAAGGTTTACGTATATTTAACTGAGGATACAGAGTCAAGAGTTCGAGCTTTCGAGGGAAGATATAGGTGCTTAACTCCCACATTCATGAAATCCTGCTGAGCTGCTGAGCTTAAAGGATGTTGAGAGATGAGAACCCTAAACCGAAAACCCCAAACCCCAAACCCCAAACCCTAAACCCTAAACCCTAAACCCCAAACCCCTAACCCCAAACCCCAAACACTTAACCCGCAAGCTGGTTCAGGGCTAGGGCTCCTCGAGGTACATCAGCAAATCTTGGTGATCCCTAAACCCTAAACCCTAAACCCTAAACCCTAAACCCTAAACCCTAAACCCTAGACCACCCGAAAACTATGCGCTTGAACCTAAACCCATATAGGGGGGGGGGGGGGGGGGTTCCCGACGTTAGGGGTACCTTCTTGGGGTCCCTATTTGAAGGGAAACGCACGATTTCGGGGTCTATATTAGGGGATCCCTTAGTTCAAACCCCCATGTAGGGGGTTCCGAAATTAGGAGTAGTACCCTTTTTGTGGGTTTTTCTTTAAAAGGTGATTCTATCCTATTTGGGGTATAAAAAGTGGGAAACACCCATATATCCCACTTGGAGGATCTTGGGGACTTCGTAAGTAGGTTTCGAAAGTGGAGTCTTAAAGTAGCGCAGCCCAAAATCGGGCCCAGCTTGCCCCAGACCCGAAACCCTAAACCCTAAACCCTAAACCCTAAACCCTAAACCCCAAACCCCAAACCCTAAACCCTACACTCCATTTAAGAGCTACCCTCCCCTACTGGTCCGCCGGCCCCCTGGTCTGCAACATGCCCAGGCGCATCTCCTGTGTGAACTTGTCCGAGCAGCGCCGCCAGATGCTGGTCTCGGAAGTGGGCATCTTCTTGCAGGCCAGTGGTACCCTAAACCCTAAACCCTAAACCCTACACCCTAAAGCCTAAACCCTTTTCTCCCTTTTTGTGGGTCAAGGTTCCCTCATAAAGTAACCACCCCCCTTTTTGCAGGCCAGTGAGTTGCTTATGGGATTTGTGAGTTTTGGGGGTTAGGGTTTACGAAGTTTAGGTGGCTTCGATTGTTTGTGCTTGGGGTTGTCTGGCTAAGTTTGGTGTCAGATTGAACCCCCCAAGAACATGAAACTCAAGATCGTAAAGCATTCAACTAGTCACTAGCCTGAGTGTTTAGAGAAGTTTGGGTCCTAAGCCCAAGCCCTAAACCCTAAACCCTAAACCCTAAACCCTAAACCCTAAACCCTAAACCCAGGGATTTTGGGGGTTTCGGGATGACAATTCCCGAATCATGAAAGCCGGTGCCCCCGAAACTCCGAAGCTCCGAATTCCAGGATGGCCTGCAGCTCTTCTTGTTTTTTGTTGCTTTTGGAGGGGAGTTTAGGGTTTAGGGGTTAGGGTTCAGGGTTTAGGGTTTCGGGTTTAGGGTTGTTAGTTTTAGGGTTCAGGGTTTGGGGGTTGGGGCAGACATGAGCTTTGGCAACAGGTGCACCATCAGAACATCGTGAAGTTGCTGGAGGTCTATGAGTCAGAAGTTCCCTCCTCAGCAAACCCTAAACCCTAAACCCTAAACCCTAAACCCTGAACCCTAAACCCTATTTGCTGAAGAACCCCTTTAAATGTAAAATAATGATCCCTATGTCGCCCTTATAAGGAAGATTGTTGTTGATTCTCCGTGGGGGTTCTTAAGCAAATAGGCAAAGGAAGTTTAAAGGTTTGCGGTTTTGGGGGGTTTTGGGGTTTTGGGGCTAGCGCTCAGGCTTGAGCATCTAAAGGCTTAGGGCTTGGGGCTTGCACGTGTTCTAGGGTAGCTGTAGGTCGGTTGGGAGGATGCTGGGACCGTAGCAAATTAAAGGCGTACAGGGTGGAGTGTTCTTTGGCACTCTTACCATCAGACGACGTTTCCAGCGTTGACCTCCCGACTAAGATGGGGTTCGTAGGGGTTAAGGGTCTAGTCTAGGGCTTACAGGAACAAACGTCATAGCTTGAGTCTCTAAACACATCCATGAGCAGTAGACTACCGGTAGACGCTGCTACGAAGAAATAAGCCATACCCCCCAAACCCCTAACCCTAAGCACTAAGCCCAATGCCTTGCAGGTGAGTCCAAAGCCCTGCGAACCAAGAATTCCTACCCTGAACCCCAAAGACCTGAATGCCTGGATCCCGAAGTTTTTGGGTTTAGGGTTAGAGTTAGACCTGAATGTCTAGATGCCGAAACATGGGTGCAGGGCTTGAGATTTTTGGGGGTTCGGGTTCAGGGTGCAGAGTTTTGGGGGTGTGTCAGTTCTCCTCTTCAGTGCCAGCTACGGTAAACCCTAAGACACGCCCAAAGCAGCCGAGCCACAAACCATAAACACCAATCCCTAAACCCTAAACCCCAAACCCCAAACCCCAAACCCCAAACCCTAAACCCTAAACCCTAAACCCTAAACCCTATAACCCTATAACCCTATAACCCTATAACCCTATAACCCTATAACCCTATAACCCTATAAACCCTCAACCCCTGACCCCAAACCGCGCGCGTCGCAAGGTCGATCAAGCTGTACTTCTGGTCATGGAGCCGGAAGCCCAATGTACTCCTGGTTGCTTAAGAACCCCCCAAAAAAACAAATAAATAAATGAATATATATATATATATACATATATATATATATATTCGATTTACATGTATATTTTATGTTTATAATTATGTTTGCATTCATATTTATATTTATATTTGTATTTATTTTATATTATATATATACTTCCTTATAAGGGCAATATAGTCTATTAAGAACCCCCCGCCAAAAAGTATAAAGAAAATCACTAACAATCTTCCTTATAAGGGTAGTATAGGGATTATTTGTTAAAAAACATATTTGGGGTTGTTAAGCAAACAGTAGTGTATGTGGCTTCGGGTATTGGGATTGTTAAGGGTTTCAGGGCTTTGGGTGTTTGAGGGTGTAGGCTTGAGAATTTGTTGTTTAGACTTTCGGGCTTTGTTTAAATGTCGGGTACCTGCTGCAGCGGCCAGTGAAGGGTGTGTTTACGGTTTCGGGTTCAGGTTTGAGGGGTTCGGGTGGCCTCCAATTTACACACAGCTCTAGAAAGCTCATCGGCACTCAGCGTTGCTTTTAGGAATTAGGGTTTAGGGTTTAGGGTTTAGGGTTTGGGGTTTCGGGAACTGTGAAGGTGGATTGAACGACTCTGCTTGCAGGTTCCCGAGTATAGCTGGAGGAGAACAGTAAACCTGCCCTACTTGTAGCTATTGCCCTTACTGCCTATTTTAGCGGTTAGGCTCCTTTTCTTAAGAAGAAAAGCTTTCTTTAGATAAAACAGGCAGGTTTTTTTTTCATTCTTTCGGGTGCTGGGGGACCTAACCACGGGCCTTCAAGTTGGCTGCCTCCAGGCCTACACGCTCCCAACATGGTTGTGGGTGCATGGCTTCAACCACGGAGTTTAGGGGTCTAGGTCAAGTTTCGGCTTTAGGGTTTAGGGTTTAGGGTTTAGGGTTCAGGGTTCAGGGTTTAGGGTTTAGGAGGTTGAGGGTTTAGGGGTGTTTGGGTTTTAGGCGTCCCGAGGGCCAAGGCCCCACGGAATTCTGCAACAACGAGCACCCGCCGCTCCTTACGTCCCCAGCGCCTTACCCAAGATGGGGGTTTACGAGAATAAGGGGCCCTGAATATAGACCCGGATAGCAGGATTCCCTGAAAATAACGACCTCAAGAAGGTACCCGAATTTCGGAAACCCCCAAATCTTGACCACACGTTTACCATGTGCCCTGCTTGGACGTTCACGGGTGGTTAGAAATCAGGTTAAACTTGCCCTTTAAATAAAGTTAGAACTGTAGTTACCAGACTGCTAACCCTAACTACCCATGAACTCCTGCCCCTACCCTTTGATTGATGCTAGGCTATGCACTGGCAAGGACACCGCATGGGGCTGTGGGGTCCGCGGGTCACATTCCCCCACAGTGAGGGCTCGGTTTCGGCTCTTGCTTTATAGGGCTAAGGTGTTTAAAGAAACCCCAAACCCTAAACCTTAAACCCAGAACGCCAAACCCTAAACCCCGTAACCCAGTCTGCTAGAGGCTTAGGGGATGAGATGAGATTTGCGGTTGGCTTCAGCAGTTGGTGATTGTAGATACCCAGAGAACTCATGAGAGCATCGTTTAATTTTGGGAACGGCTCCTTTTTATCAGCGTTCAATTGGGTCAGGTTTCAAGGGTGTGGGGCTAGGGTATTTAGGGTTTCCTTATAAGCTTCCGGCCACACTACTCTATTCCCCCGTTACTCTGAGACCTGGCAAGGGCAGTTGAAACAAGGACCCCTAAGGCCTAATCTCTTGATTAATGGATATGATGTCTCCGGGGATCCTAAACCCCGAAACCGAAAACCCTTAACCTGCGCCTCTCAACTGAAGCGCAGAGCCCTCAATCCTACATTAAGGTCTTGCGGACGTGTTTCCCAGAGGGTCCAGGTACTCCTATGTTGGGACTTTCTCTTGGGGCCTGCATTCTTGTGTAACCCACTGCGATGTCAACCTTAAATTCCCGAGAAGCCCTTGAGCCGCAAAAGCCCAAGCCCAAAAGCGCTCAGAACCTTCAAAAGGCCCCCAAACCCTAAAGCCCTTAACCCTAAACCTCAAACCCTTAACCCCTAAACCTTGAAACCCCTCATACTAAACCCCAAACCCTAAACCTCAAACCCCTAAAACCCTAAAGCCCTAAAGCCCAAAGAGCCAGCGGGACACAAGGAGCTGTTTGAGAGGTTGGCCGAGCGGAAGTGGTACTCAGAGTGCTCCTGGGGCGGTTTAGGGTTTAGGGTTTTGGCTTTTTGGGGGTTTGGGGTTTGGGGGTTGGGGTTTAGTGTTTAGTAAGGGTTGCATGGACCCAGCTTGGTGTTGTCTTGGTTCTTCAGTAGGCTTCAGAGGGGGTTAGGAATTTAGGCGTCGAGTACGTAGGGACGGGGCACCCGGGCTTGAACCTGAGCTTCAGATTCAGTACGAGGTCCCCACCCTCAACCCTAGACCCCAAAGCCTGAACCCCTCATGCTAAACCCCCTAAAACCCCAAACCCTGAACCCCAAACCCTAAACCCTAAACCCCAAACCCCAAACCCTAAACCCCAAACCCTAAAGCCCAAACCCCAAACCCTAAACCCTAAACCCCAAACCCTAAACCCTAAACCCCAAACCCTAGACCCTAAACCCTAAACCCTAAACCCCTAACCCTCAACCATCGCCAGGTACGACGCCGCGCGGGTGACCCGGCAAATGCTCGACGCTGCGGCCTTGGCTTCCTCTTGGTTGTGGGGTTTAGGGTTTGGTTTAGGGTTTAGGGTGAGGGGTGAGGCCCTAAACCCTAAACCCTAACCTGTGGTCCACTCCTACCACACCTTACAGAATCCGATGAGACCCCCTGAAGCCCTAACCTTTCTGGGCGTCTGCCGTTTTTTGTGTATTCTCCTGACACTTCAGGGCCTCCCAAATGCCGGGGGGTTATCGAAATTCAGGTCCCCTTCGAGGTCTCCTTTACTGCATGGACCCGGAATACCCTAAACCCTAAACCCTAAGCCCTAAACCCTAAACTCTAAGCCCTAAACCACCTATTATGCTTAAAGGGTTCTGAAGTATTGGCCCTTCGGTGTTTGAGGGTACGTATGTAAGGGGAATATCAGGTTGCCAAAGTTAGTTCTAATCCCCAAACCCTTAGTTTTTGATGGCGCATACTCCTTGTCAGAAGCTCCGTCGTCACCTTGTATAGGGTATGGGATGTATACTGTGGGCTGTTGGGGCTTTAGGCTTTTGGGCTTTGGGGTTTTCAGGGGTTGGGCTTTTAGAGCTGCAGAGGCTTTTGGTTGTCGGGATTCACTTTTTGGGGTTTCAGGTTTTAGGTTTTAGGTTTCAGGTCTTTTGGGCCTTAAGGCTTACCCCAACTAGCATTGTGGGCTCTGGCATGATTTAGGGTCCGGGTTTAGGGTTTAGGGTTTTAGGGATTTAGGGTTTAGAGTTTTAGGGTTTAGGGTTCAGGGTTCAGGGTTAGGGTTTAGGGGTTAGGGTTTAGGGTTTAGGGTTTAGGGTTGAGGGTTGAGGGTTGAGGGTTGAGGGTTGAGGGTTAAACCCTAAACTTCAGTAACCAGACAAGGCAGTTGCCTACCTGCACTCGCAGAACATCTGCCACCGGGACTGCGTGCATCTGACGCCCGCCAACACCCAAAGGTTTAGGGTTTAGTGTTTAGGGTTTAGGGTTAAACCCAAGCCCGAGCGCTCCGAAACCCTGCACCCTAAGCCCTAACATTGAGGGGCTTCTGCGGATGGACGGTTCTAAGTTTTAAGGGGCTTTGTGGATACCATTGTGTAGTAGGGTTCTGTATAAGAAGCTCAAACGAAGGGGCATGTGAACAACCTCTGTAGCAGCTTTGGGGGCGAGGTGGCTCTGTGACTCTTGGCCATTAGGGTTTATTTAGGGTTTAGGGTTTTCGGGTTTAGGGTTTAGGGTTTAGGGTTCTAGGCTTTGAGGGTTCTGGGGTTTCAGGGTTTTAGGGTTTTTTTAGGGTTGAGGGTTTGGGGGTTTTAGGGTTTGGGGTTTTTTGGGTTTAGAGTTTCTAGGGTTTTAGGGCTTATGGCCGCGGAATGGCAAGAGGCCCTTGGGCTTGTTGGGGTTTTCCGTTTCTCACGTGCCTGCGTTCTCCTGGGTTTTTTTCTATTGGGTTCTTAAGGGGAGGCAGTTCATAAACCGTCAACCCTAAACCCTAAACCCCAAACCCTGTACGTTTTTTGAAGGTGTACTTGGCACACTCCGTGCGGTTTTGTTATTCCAAAGGTTTGCCCAATGCCAATAGCAGACCCCAACATTTCAGAAACTCTCGC